GATCCTTTCAACATCTCTGGACCCAGCATAACTCTGAGACCTCCATATGTCTTGGCATCAATTCTTCCCTGAACTTTACAGTAGAGGGATTCCAGGTCTAAAGGATGCACTCCACTCTGGCTCTTCTATCTTGGTGGTAGTAGGTTCATTTTGAGCTCTGCTTGCTTGTCTATCTCTATTTATATCTCCAAAGAGACTGACTCAAGACACAACCTAATCCTGTCATTTGCATCTGGCCTCATTAACATCAGAGAAGTGAAGATTTACGATACATAGGATGATTAGACCAGATTAGGGCTGATCCCATCAGATCACATTATGGGAATGATTACATTATAGTAGACCTCATCATTAGGAATTATTGCCTCTTAACTTCTGCTGTGCATGGGGTCGCTATGAGTGGGTTCCGACTAGATGACACCTGACAACAACAACAACAACTGCTAAACCACTGAGACTGCTTGGAAGCTGAGTAGACACATAACCTTACCTGTCACTGTTGCTCTTAAAGCAGTTCTGACTCTTGCTGAACCCGTGTGTGCAGAGTGGAACGGCTGCATAGGGTTTTCAATGTTGGAACCTTTAAGAAGCAGATCATCATGCCTGTCTTCTGCACCCCTGGGTGGGTTTGAACTGACAACCTCTCGACCATTAGCCATTTGTGCCACCCAACTATGTTGCACTGATTTCTTTGCTCTCTAGACTTGTTCCCAGCCCCAGCCTCAAAACCATCACAGTGTTCCTTAATTCAGCAAGCCTCAGCCTCCCAGAGGTCACAGAGGCGGCCCCCCGAGGAAGTGAGACTATACTTCATCAGAGTGCAATTCCCACTCAGTAACCTCCAGCAAAACCTCCCCTGAGACGGGCAAGTCAGTCATCATCATAGTCAGACACATTCGCATCTCTTGGCCCAGAGAACCTCCATAACCTTGTTAATGCCAGGAGGCGGCGGGAAAGGATGTAGGCAATCTGACAATCCAAGTTAAATGACAACAGCTGTTCTTGTTGTCACTTCAAATGCACCAGGTCACGGAGCTACCTCCAAAGCGCTGGCAGGTGAGCTCCGGAGGTCAGCTGTATCCTCTACCTTCTATGACAACATGCAAAGTCCGGCTGGCTGCTGTGTTTCACCTGGCTCTCCCTCCAATGGTGAGAGCTGCCTTTGGGTCAGCTCTGCGCATCTTCTAACCATGAGGATGCTTCAGAATTTCAGAGGAATAAACAACTCTTCCAGACAGCTAGATGACTGTAATTGCTTACTTTCTGGATTGCTTAATCTTACAGCTGGAAGATGCAGCATATGAAAATTTAGTTGGCTGTGGTATTATTTAAAATCTCAATCGCTCCTTCCCAAAGCAGGAAGCTTTGGTTTCTAACATCTAGAAAGAATTTAGAAGGCCATGAATTCAGATTTTGTGACCTACTTCTCTGACGTCTTTTTCCAATAGAGGGATTAGTTATTGAAGCTTCTGTTTGAACAGTGCTGGAGAACAATACTTCTGAGGTTCAAGGCAATGGCTGGGTCCTCATATCACAGGGAGTTTCAGGTTCCAGGCAATTTTACTAACGGACATCCTTTATGATCCCACCACACTCCTGTAGTTTGTTGGCCTGGGGTAGCTTGTGGGATGCTGGAAGCTATACTGGATGGCTCTTTAGAAGCCAGAATGGAGAGACTTTGTCTCATGTACTTTGGACACATTATCAGGAGGGATCAGTTCCTGGAAAAGGACATTATATTTGGAAAAGTTGACTTAAAAAACCCCCACCAAAAGAACAACAACAAAAAGAAGACCCTCAATGAGATGGATTGACATAGTGCTGCACCAATGGCTCAAGACTAACATGGATTCTGAGGACAGTGTAGGACTAGGCAGTGTTTTGTTCTGTTGTATGTGAGGGTCACAATGAGTTGTAACAAACTGGATGGCATGTAACACAATATCGTTTTGTGATTGTTCAACTGTCATGCAAATACTCAATGATGAGATTCCTGGGGGGATTCTGCAATTGTGGTTCTGAACAGATGAACTCATCTTTGTGGGTCATTCTTAGTGACCAGTATTCAGGCCAGGCTGGAGTATGGGAACCTATGGACACTGGTTTAGGTCACTGAGTTTGAGATTCTTCTTAACCATGACCTGTCAGGTGTCTCAGAGATTGACTAGGGGGTAGTGTCTCTTTCATCCTGACACCATAACCCGAGCCCCTTCCCTGGGATCCTTCGCTGGGCTTCTCTGAGTCTCGCGTGTCCCTTCATGTCACCACAGCTTGCTGGAATCATAAGCTGATTGACTGACTGCACCTCACTTGACATCCTGGATGCCACACATTTTGTGCTTGACTACTAACCTAAAGGCTGGCAGTTTGATCCCAACCAGCAATGCAGCAGAAGAAAGGTCTGGGCATCTACTTCCAATGAGACTGTTGTTAGGGGCAGTGCTGTCAATTTTCACTCACAGTGACCCCATGTCACTGAGCAATACTTCCCTATAGGGTGTCCTGGCCATAATCTTTACAAAAGCAGACTGTCAGATCGTCTCTCCTGTTGGTAGGTTTGAAGTTCCAACCTTTTGGTTAGCTGCTGCGTGCTTAATCACTGTGCCACCAGGACTGCTTTGTAAAGATGACAGACAAGAAAACCCTACAGAGTACTCTACTCTTTAACACAGGGGCCCGCCGAGAGCTGAAATTGACTCCAGGGCCAGACCATGGCTATGGTTTGCCATTTTGATACTTCACCTATGCAGTCAAGGAGCTCATGAGCACCACCTTGAGGATGAAATTTTCAATCCCTGCATCTGGCATATGGCCAGGACTATCAACACTCATGGAAGCAGCAGTCAAGAAATCAAACGACATATTGCATTAGGCAAATCTGCTTCGCAAGACCTTTTTAAAGTGTTGAAGAGCAAAGATGTCAGCTTGAGGACTAAGGCGCGCCTGACCCAAGCCATGGTATTTTCAGTAACCTCATATGGATGCAAAAGCTGGACAGTGAATAAGGAAGATCGTAGAAGAATTGATGCCTTTGAGTAATGGTGTTGGAGGAGAATACTGAAAGTACCATGGACTGCCAAAAGAACCAACAGATCTGTGTTGGAAGAAGTGAAGCCAGAGTGCTCCTTGGAGGTCAAGATGGCCAAACTTCGTCTCTCATACTTTGGACATATTGTCAGGAGGGACCAGTCACTGGAGAAGGATATCATGTTTGGTAAGGTGGAGGATCAGAGAAAAAGAGGAAGACCCCCAACAAGATGGATTAGCAAAGTGGCAGCATCAATGGGCTCAAGTGTGGCAACAATTGTGAGGTTGGCCCAGGACTGGGCAGTGTTTCATTCTGTTGTGCATAGGTCTTTTCTCCTGTGAAGCAGCTGGTGGGTTCAAACAGCTGACTTTTCAGTTGCTTGTGCTTAACCATTGCCCTCCTAGGGTTCACACTGCCAGGGATATAGAACTGGCTGGATTAAAGGTCTGTGCATCAATCACTAGATGAGTGAGTGAAGGAATGAGAGATTGAAGAACAAAGACATGGAGGCAAAAAAGTCAACCCACTGCTGAACCAGGTTGGGAAATAAAGTAGGGATGAGAGAGTGTAGCAAGAGAGCTCAAGCATCATGTTGCTCAAAGTGACACCTACAGTAACAAGAAACACATAGTAGGTGCTTGATAAAGTACAACAACAAACACTTACTAGGCACTTTCTGTCTCCAGGCACTGTGTTATGCCCCTTATTTGAACTGCCTCATCTACAAGGATATTATCTTTGGCAAAGGAGCCAGTGATTTATGCCAGTGATTTTGTATACGTCAGGCGGGAGCAACATGGAATCTGAAAGACGTTTGCTTTGCTCATTTTTCAACACTCTATTCAAGTACCACCCCTTCCATGAAACCTTCTCTGACTGGTTCTGACAAGGTGTCTGTGTTTTACACCACGGTTCCATATATAATTAGCTCTTTTCTGTGTTTGCCTTCATAGGAGGAGCTTGCCTGATGGCACGTCCCACAATTGTCGTCTTGGAATCACTAGTCTAGTGTTGCGCACAATGGAGTGGCTCAGGATTCACTGTTTGAGTGACATGGAAGTATCACCAGAATCATTCTTAATTCACAGAAGACCAAGGCTCTCCAATGTAGTTCTGCATTTCAATGTGTGCAAAATGGTTGCACAAAGAAGACTGTGAATATAAAGCAACATCGACAATCCTGGACTGCTCTAAAGGATAAAGCACGACTGAGAGGCCCCAGTGAAGTGAGGTACCAAACACTGAAAGAATTCAGCATCTCAGAGGCAAAGGGCTGTGGAATGTGCTCACTGTGTAGCACACGTTTACTTTATGAATGAAACCATACACTCTACATGCAATCCATCAATGACAATTCCATTCTAAAAGCTGTGAGATACACAACACCCATATAGACCCAATATGGAAGCTATGCGTACCATACAGGCAGGACATGTTGCCTAAAACCCTTAAATTTTAAAATTAAAATCTGACGTTTTCCAAACCAGAAAGTCCCATTGCATGTTACACAGAGAGCGCTTAAGAAGTCTGGAATGTGTCAACAGCTTTGGGATGGAATCTCTTTTGGAGACTCAATCATTATGACCTGTGTCTCTACCAGGCTCTCCAGTTCTCCTCAGAGACAATGGGCCCCAGAGACAATGAACTCTACAGCAGGGCATTGCCAACCCACAACAACCAGAAGGAAGTAGTGCCAGAACATTTTATCAGAGAGTAGCATTTCTAGCCTTTGGATAATTGATTCCGAGAGCCATACAAACATAGAGAGGATGTGCTATTTAAACACTATCTTCCACTGAACATACACATATATGCATACATACATTCTCACACACACCCTAGTGCAGGGCACATACATTGTGTTAGTGTGTTACCTAGCACCTCATTGTAACCTCTTGGTTCAATGTGCAGAGAAACTGTTCAAGCATTTTCCGAACTCACTAGGAAAGAAAATCATTCAACTTGGTCCTACCCTGAGGTAGTTGAGGGTGAAATTGGTTAGCCCCATCCTGGTGATGTTTTTGGACAGCTGATCCAGGACCTGGGGATCTTGTGCCTAAAGAGAGAGAGAGGAAAAAAAAAAAAATCATCTATTTACTCATGTAAAATATTCCAAGAAAATATGAAACTGTTACAGCTGCTAAGAAATGCAAGAATATCATCGCCAATTATTCACTAAGGGCAATTGTCAGTAAAGGACATTGTGTTTGGTAAAGTGGGGGGAGGGGGGGTGCAACAACAAAAAGGAAAAGAAGAAGATCCCCAATGAGACGGACTGACACAGTGGCTTAAATATAACCATGGTGAGGATAGCGCAGGACCCGGCTGTGTTTAGTTGTATTGTGCAGGGTCTCTGTGAGTCCACAGCATCTAATAACAACAAAGGTTGCTGGAACTGAGTTAATTTGCGTGTTGAAGACACTTGTAAATAACATTCAAGGAAAAGTTCAAATAGTTGTGTAAGGTCCATTGTCTGGTGCAACCAAACTGATTCAAATGTGATCTCGGTTCTTGGGGTCGACGGCTCCCCTTCTTCTCTGGGAGGTTCTGGGTCATTAAGTTATGCTGGGAGGCATGGAAGTCACTCATTGGCGATGGCAGGACCAGGCCTAAGGCTGACCTCAGCTTCATGCTGGGATAGTACTCCTGCTTTCATAAGCTTGGAGTCAAGGACTGGCCAGAGCTATGAAAAACTAACTCTCTTCCTCATTTATAACACTGGAAATTGATCTCCACACTGGTTTTACTCAGCTGGATGGGGAAAGGTAACCATCACACCTTCCAAACTCTCCACTACATTTAAGAAACGGGTAGGCAGCTCCATGCTGTTGTTGTGGTGAAGTGCCGTAGAGTCGGTTCCAACCCAGAGCGACCCTGTATAGGGTTTCCAAGGAGTAGCTGGTGGGCTTAAGCCACCCATCTTGAAGGTCAAATGGCTTTGCAGTCTGGTGCATTAACCCACAGCACCACATCAGGACTCCAGACAGCTCCATAGGCTACCCAAAATTCGGTTTGGCAAGAAAAGATGAAAACCCTTTCTTGATTTCCTTTTAAAACAAGTCTCCAAAAGCTAGAAGTGACTGGCTTACAAGCTTTCAAGAAGAAGCCTAGATCCAGAGGGCACAAAGGAAGGTAGAATCTCCACTGGGTAGTATCCAATGTGTCTGGGTGGGGATGATTAAAGGAGATGGGAATAGGTCTCTTGTGGTACAATAGTGAATAATTGTTATCAGGATTGACTGTGAGGATTGGAAATGTAAAGGTAGACACTTTGGAGAAAAAGGAAGGGAGTGATTAACTTTGTAGTCTAGGAGCAGAAGTCCCTGGGACCATCAAGGGAGAAGAACGGAGTGGAGGGCCCTGCCCAGAGAATCAGTGATGCCAGAGATGGAGGCAGAGACTATGATATGGAGAGATGGAGCGGCTGAGGACTTTAGATCCAGAGAGGGAGAGGGGTTATGTGCTGATGACCAGGGGGCAGGTTTGCAGGGTGTACACTTTGGTTGGTTGATGATGCATGCAGGGGATTGCAACCATGGCAATGAAACAATATATGACAGGATGAATGTAAAAGTAATGTTCTCCCATGTAAACTATCACATACTTCAGAATAAAACATTAAAAAGTAAAAAAAAAAAAAAATTCTTTACAGGAACAGAAAGCCAAAAAAACCTAAACAAAACCCGAGTCTCTTGGCTGAAGTTCCTTATTGTTAGCCTTTCGGTCTTTCTTCATTAGTGTAAGCAAATTGTAGTCCCTGGGTGGTGTAAATGTTTATACTTGGACTACTAACTGAAAGGTTGATGGTTCAAACCTACCCAGAGGTGTCTTGGAAGACAGGTCTGATGATCTGCTTGAAAACCCTTTGAAGCAGCTCTACTCTGCGCATCTGGGGTCCAGGAGTCAGAATAGACTTGATAGCTAATAATAACGGTATAAACAAAATGGCTCTAAACAGAGGGAAACACGTTGGTGTTATTGCTGTTATGTGCTGTGGAGTCAGTTCCAACTCCAAGACCGAGTATAGGGTTTCCGAGGCTTCAAATCTTTGTTGGAGCTGAGAGGCTCATCTTTCTTCCATGGAGTGACTGGTGGGCTCAACTTCTGACCTTATGGGTTACAGTCCAGTGTTTATCCTATGGCACCACTATGCTTCCTTAGGGAAGCATAAGTAAGTAAATATCTCATTGCTTTCATTTCTGTGTTCCTGAGACTATCTTGATATTTAACATTGAATTTGTTCTTTTCTATAGTTAATATTTCCCACGTTGGTATTATCAACTCGTTTTATTCATATACCTAGTCAACAGGCAGTCGGTGTTTTCAAATTGATTCTGACTCAGGGCAACCCCTTGTATGTTGTTATAAAACTGCTCCAGGATTTCCAATGGCTGCTATTTTGGAAGTAGATAGCCAGACTTTTCTTATCAAGTGCCATTGGGTAATTTTCCGAGCCTTTGGTTAACCACCAAACATGTTCTCCATTTGTACCACCGAGTACACATACATTTGCATGCATATATACATAATAAGGACAAAACGTCACATGGTATCAGTTTCCATGTCAACTTCTTGAAAAGAGGTCTTTGGTGGACTTTGGGTCAGGAAGAGTTGGTCCTCGAGAGAGTGTTCAAGTAGACACAGCTGACCTCAACAAGTTTGCATTTCACTTGGAAAATAGAATAATAATGAATATTCTTTTGTTGTTAAGTTCGATTGAGTTGGTTCCAGCTCATAGCAACCCTGCATAGGGTTTTCAAAGAGTGACTGGTAGGTTTGAACCATTAACCTAGTATTACTTATCCTACAGTGTCACACCAGGAAAATAATAAATAAGTTATTAAATGCCGTCGAGTTGGTGCTGACCCACAGTGACCTTATACAGGGCTTCCAAGGAATGGCTGGTGAATTTGAACCACTAACCTGCAGCTCAAACTGACTTTACCGTTTAGCATGGTAGAAGGATGGTTCTGTTGATGCTGATGCTGTTGGCCAATGGCCAACAGCTCCTGAGGACCTACTATGTGCCAGTCACTATTCTAAGTGCGTTATGTGTATTAACTCCTTTCATCTTCAAACCCATGCTCTGACGCAGGTTCCATTATTGCACCCATTTTATGGATTTGGAGACACAGAGATGCCATCTCATTTGCCCAAGGTCACATAAGACCAGGCATACAAATCTATGCCATCTATTTCTAGAATCCAGGTTTCCCAAACTCCCCTTTGCCATCAACCTGTCCATTAGTAGAGGACTGAGTAGATATCTCAGACTGCGACAAAGACAGCAGAGAACTGGAACCGGACTTTGAAACGGAAACAGATTTGAGTGTGGGTGGTCAGAAATAATGAGTGTGTGGTCATTTTACAGCAGATAACACAGGTCAGTGGGAAGAGCAAAAACAGGGGAGAGGGTTGAGGATTGAATCCTACAGGGACAGGCTGGAGTCAGTTAGTTGAGAGACAGTGGGCTTAACAGCGTGGGTTTAGAGTCAAAACTCACTAGGTTGAAATCTTGATTTGGCCACTAACATGCTGAAAAATATTGGGCCATTTACTGTAGCCCTCTGACACTCAGTTTCCCACCGCTGAAAAAGGAATGGATCACAACCCATCTATTTGAGTAACTGCATATTAAATATAATAATGTATATGAAATGTGCAGTGTCAGGCCTGACATAGTAAGTGCCTAAGAATTGCTACTTTTTTGTTATTTCAGATGGATGGTGGTCACACGTAAGGTTTATAACCCAGGTCACATTCATGAAAATATAGAAATTGTCAAATATTTCAGTATAATTGGATCCACAATCAACACTCATGGAAGTACCAGTGAAGAATCAAATAATATATAGCATTAGACAAATCTGCTGCAAAAGACTTCTTTAAGGAGTTAAAGAGCAAAGATGTCAGTCTGAGGACTAAGGTGTGCTGGCTCCAAGCCATGGCATTTTCAATTTTCTCATATGCATGTGAAAGTTAGATCATGAATAAAGAAGATCACGGAAGAATCAATGTATTTGAGTTAATGGTGCTGGCAAGAATATGAAAGTACCAAAGACCAAGCTAATCTGCCTTGGAAGAAGTATAGTAAAAAATTTAGAAACTTTAGAAGCGAGGATGATGAGCCTTTGTCATGCATTGGAGAAGTGCTCAGGAGAGACCAATCCCTAAAAAAGTAGAGATCAATGAAAAAAAGAAAGACTTGAAAATTCGATAGAGTGACACAATGGCCGAAACAATGGGCACAAAGGTAACAACTGTGAATATGGAGCAGGACTGGGCAGTGTTTTGTTCTGTTGTACACAGGTTCACTCTTCATTGGAACTGACCCAACAAAACAACAGTGAGCTTCATGGAAAGGGGGAATTCTCCCAGTGAATATCATGCAGTATGTTGTTGTTGTGAGTTACCATTAAGTGGGTTCCAATTCTTGGCCACCTTCGTATAGCAAAACTAAATGGTCCCCAAGCTTGCGCCATCTTCACGATCACTGGCTGGTATGTTTGGGTCCACTGTGTGGTCACTGCGCCAATCCAGGCCATTGATGGTTTCCTCATTGTCATCGGCCCTGTATTTTTCCAAATAATGCCTTTTGTAGCAAGTTGTTGTTGTTGTTAAGTGCCGTCAAGTCGGTTCCGACCCATAGCGACCCTGTACAGGGTTTCCGAGGGTGTAAATCTTTACGGGAGTAGAAAGCCTCATCTTTCTCCCGCGGAGCGGCTGGTAGTTTCGAACTGCTGACCTTAAGGTTCACAGCCCGATCCGTAACCACTACGCTACCAGTGTAGCAAGTGACCAAGTTCAAAGTAAGCCAGTAGAAATCTTGCCATTCCTGCTTCTAAACAACACTCATCTTCTAAGGCTGATGTGTTCATTCTTTTGGCAGTCCAAGGTATATTCAACACTGTTTGCCAACAGTCCAGCTGAAATGAATCCATTTTTCTTTCTTTTTCACTTTACAAATTTCGCATGTGTATAAGGTGATTGAAAAGACGATGAGATGAATCTGTCCTTAGTAAGTTAATACCTTTTGTCTCCTTCGTCAGGGATTATAGCTCACTAGTTTCTATCAGCTGTACCTTTAAAATATCTCTTCCATTTGGCATCAACTCAGACCTAACATTCAATAAATATGATGTGATTAATGACTAAGTAAAGCCAAGAGAACCCAAAACATTCCACTTTGATTCCAACCCCATCGTCAGAAAGAACTGAGTCCTACCAATACAGATTTGAGACCCACAAGACCCAAGTCTTGTCAGATGGTTCTAATCAAAACTGGAAACTGTTTTTCTTATTTATTTTCTTCCCTAGACATACATAACATGTTTATTAGCCCAGGCGGAGTAATATTTGATACTGGCTGGATGGAATTTAAGGAAAGTACAAGGGTTTATGGAGGTAACCTCAACATTAAGTTTAAAATAATAATATATGGAAAACAGTCTCACAAAACACCAGACTCAGAAATAAATAAAAGCAAAATACAGCCTGTGGATTAAAATGGTTAAGGGGAAAATTCAATAATTTAAAGTTAATTACCTAAAGCGTGGAATTCTTTCACTGAGGGAGAACTGGGCTTTTCCCCTTGAGTAAAATATGGAAAAAAAAAAAACAAAGAAAGTAAAATAGAAATGAAATTACTTACATGCATGGCTAGAATGCTTCTTGGGACTAATTCTCTGTATTGTCTGATGGTAAAGTGCCATGTTTTAATTCTCATGAGATCATCAAAGGTGAACTCCAAGATCAGTCTGCCTTCTGTACATACCTGAAAACAACAAACAACGCAGTTATTTGTGATCGGCTTAACACCAGAGTTTATGACTTCACACATCAGCTGCTCCATGGGGTCTCCCTGACTGCACTTTGGCAGGGTTGTGTTTGGGCCAAGAGGTTTATTCAGGCCATACCGGAGCAAGCATAAATGCTGGAATCATTGTCCCAATAGCCATAGGTTCAAAAGCCAGCTTTATTGATCATGAATCACGTGAGCTCCTGAAACTTGATGGACTTGTTTTCTCTTTAGTCTCTATGGGATCAAATCCATGTTATAGAACTATTGTATCAAAATCTCCTGCCAATTGTTGTTGTTGTTAGGTGCCATTGAGTCAGTACTGGCTCATAGCGACCTTATGCACAGTAGAACAAAACACTGCCCCATCCTGGGCCAACCTCATTACTGTTGCCATGCTTGAGTCCATCGATGCTGCCACTTGGCCAATTCATCTCATTGGGGGTCTTCCTCTTTTTCTCTGACCCTCCACCTTACTAAACATGATATCCTTCTCCAGCAACTGGTCCCTCCTGACAATACTCCCCAAAATGGTATCCTTTTATCATTTCCTACTGTTTCTTCCACTTTTATCCATCTTTTACCATCAAAGCTGAGCTCTCATTCTAATCTTAGTTCTCCTACTTTGGGAGAATGTATCCAATAAAAGGATTCATAATGAACAGATAATTACTGTAAGGTGGCTGTTACTGTTAAGTGCAGTAGAGCAGGTTCTGACTCATAACGATCCTGTCTAGGGTTTCCAAGGAGTGGTTGGTGGATTTGAACTGCCTGCCTTGTGGTTAGTATTCTAGTGATTATCTTACAGCACCACCCCAGGACTACAAGGTTACCAAAGAGAAATTCCAGAGGGCAATGCTTAACCCCAGCCAGTGGGGATCAGCTGCTGCGCAGAAGAGTCTTGCCTAGAGTTATGGCAAACACTGCTTCCTAAAGACAGAATTCCCATCAAGGGCCAGCCTGTGGAGCATTTGTGGCACTGTGGGTGAATGTGCCAGGCTGCAAAGCCATTTGAACATCTAGGTTGGTGGTTCAAGCTCACCAGCTGTTCCTTGGAAACCCTATACAAGGTCACTATGGGTTGGAGCCTACTTGACGGCACTTACAACAACATGAAAGTAACATTATTACTGAAGCATAATGAAATGTCTGATGCGCTCTTCCCTCATGGTGTGATGAGTGACAGTGTAACTTTTGATGTTTTTTATTTTGAGATGCAAATCCTGTTTTAGGATGTGGTTTTCACCTTCTTCTTTCACGTTCAGGACTTTGAACTGGAAGAAGATGGTCATCATTTACATTTTCTATCATAAGATACAAAGTGGTCATAGCACGTAGGTCCAGTCAGTTTAACTAATTACAGCTCTTTGATCAGTCCAAGTTTCTTTCGGGAAAGCTGTGACAAGCAGTGGAGGGAGGCTTTGGCATTTGATGTTGTTAGATTTAGATCCTGGCTCAACTTTTTGCTCATGTTGGACCTTTTGGAAAATCAGATGAATTCTCTAAGTTTCAGCTATCTCACCCATAAAAGGGCGATAAGAATATCTTTGGGTCGGGGCATGAAATGATGTGTGGAGATAACCTAGTATCATACATACCTAGCACATATTAAGATCATAGTAAATGATAGCATTAGACAACAAAGAAGCATAGCCAAAAAGAACAGAGTCCTAGACCAGAGGTTGTCAGAAATTCCCAGATGGGGTTTAGTGGTTCACGGCAGTCATCTCACGGGGGTCTGCTGGGAGGACGCTGGACCTCCACATGGACTCCGAGCTCCTGAACATCTCCTGAGTTCAACCACAGCACCTTCCATTTTAAGAGCCCTGGTGGTGCCACGGTTAAGTGCTTAGCTGTGAACTAGAAGGTTAGTGTTTCGAACCCACCAGCCTCTCCATGACAGATGCAGCAGTCTATTTCCATAAAGTTGCCAGCTTTGGAAACCTTATGAGGGTTTCGTTTGACCCTGTCCTGTAGGGTCTCTGTGAGTCTGAATTGTCTGATGGTTTGTTTTTTTGGCTCTTCAGCTGTATCAGTTTTAACTTGCTGGGTTTCCGGATAGGAGTTTTTCAATAGGAGATCACCTTGTCTAAAACTGAGTACTATGACATTCATTACACCACAAAGTTAAAATAAATGACAATGAACTAAATCAGGAATGTGCTCACTTGTAAAACTTAAGGCCGACAATATGACTAACAATTTATTTCAAACTTTTCTGACATCTTCAGAACACTGTCTCTGTTGTAAAGTTAGTAAAAGGCCCTCAAGTTTTGAGTTCCAGCTAGGTTCTGGACACTGGTTAGGTGCTTTATATGCACTCGATCTAATTGAAGATAACATTTTCTAGAAAAAAGACAAAACTAGGATAAAATAAATCCTGACAAATGTGATAGGACACTTGTCAAATAAGATGCTGTTAACAGTGGCCACTGAGGTTTATCCAAGGCTCAGAAGCACTGAAAGATGATTATTGGTAATCTGGATGAAGACCTCTACCTTGGATCCAATTAGCAGACTCGGTGGGTAACTTCAGGCACCTGGCCACCTTTCCCCAATACTCCTTGAGTGGCTTTCAGAGTGTTCCTTGTAGCATCTTAGCTATGAGAGTTGATTGAACGCATTGGCCAGATGAAATCTTTAGTGTCACCGAATCAGTATACCAAGGTTTTCAAAAAGATTACACAGCAATGAAGTCACACATTTCTCCCTGGATGTTTGTGTGACAGAAGCCACTTGTGGTACAACTTTCACAGCAGAGAGGTAACCACAGCCAACCATTATGAGTGAAATGTCCTGACAATATAGGACAGGAATATGGGATGCTGCAAGCCCTTTTTAAAAGAGGGAATTATTGGATCTTTAAATAAATATTAGCCCAGGTAAACGTCATGCTTCTTTATTATCTATTCTGTTTGCTTTATATATGTGAACCACACACCCAGGGCAGATAGAAGTTCTGGCTTATTTCTATTGTTGTTAAGTGCCATTTAGTTGACACATAGCGACCCTGTATGGAGTCCTGGTGTGGCGCTGTGGGCTAATGCGTCAGACTGCAAAGCCGTTTGAACGGCAAGGTCAGTGATTCAAGCTCACCAGTCACTCCTTGGAAACCCTATACAGGGTCGCTATGGGTCGGAATCGACTCGACGGCACTTCACAACAACAACAACAACGACCCTGTATAGGGTTTCCAAGAAGCAGCTGGTGGATTTGAACCAACAGTCTTTTAGTTAGCAGACCAGTGCTTAACCTACAGCACCATACAGGACTCCTCAGACTTATGTCTACTGGAGTAAAGGTTCATATTGAGAAGCATGTTATCAAGAAGGAGCAGTCCCTGGCGAAGAACAAGGACATCATGCTTGGTAAAGTAGTTCTGGAGAAGAGCATCGTGGTCGGTAGAGTAATTCTGGAGAAGAGCATCGTGGGCGGTAGAGTAGTTCTGGAGAAGAGCATCATGGGCGGTAAAGTAGTTGTTGGTAAGTACTGTGGAGTTGGTTCCCACTCATAGAAAGCCTGCATACGGTTTCCAAGGAATGAGTTGTGGGTTTTGAACCACTGACCTAGTAGTTGGTAGTCTTGCACTTTCCCAATTGTACTACACCAGAACTCCTGGTAAAGTAGAAGTAGTAGTTGTTGTTGTTGTTAAGTGCCATCAAGTCGGTTCTGACTCACAGCAACTGTGTATGGGGTTTCCTAGGAGTGGCTGGTTGGTTTGAACTACCAACTTTGTAATTCAAACTGACCTGGAAGTCCAGTGTTTACAGCAGGCAGTGACAAAAGAGGAACTTTCAATGAGATGAACTGGCACAGCGAATGCAGCAATCAACTCAAACCTGATAATAATTGCTAGGTGGGTGTAGGCCCAGGCCGAGTTTTGTTCTGTTGTACACAGGGCCTCTGTGAGTTGGAACCAACTCAATGGTACCTAACAACTTGCATTCGGATCAACTATAAGGACAAGTTTTGTTGTTTTCCTTGCTTATTGTAGAATGGCAAACCAGTTGAGCACCCATCTTGTCATCAAACTGATACAGGTCTACAAAATAGAAAGTTGTCACACATATCGGGCTCCTCCTTCCTCGTTCATAACTGAGGACTAAGCTTTATCTAAGGAATGTCATGTGTAAGACCACAATTCTTAGCACAGAATGTGAGTTGACTGTGTTGGATACTTCCTTTAAAGAAAATAGGATGAGTTCTTTGAATAAATGGATTAGGGAGAATTCTGGTCATACATGGTCTTCGCCAAGTAATTACTCCCACAGCATTTTCCCAAGCCCTATGCTGCCTTTCTGCCCCCACCCGCCCCCACCATAGAAATGAAAGGAAACCAAAGGTTTTGCAATTTATTTTATATACAACCATCAGCAAAGGAATAAGAGGTGCATGGGCACCTTGCTCCAATACTCCTTGAGTGGTTTTCAGAACATACATTCCTTGTTCTGAAACGGGAAAAAAAAAGTGGGCATAGCTTAAAAAGGGAAAGTGATGTTTTCTCTTTTTAGAAAAATTTGGTGTATTCCTCTGAATCAATACAATTAATGCAACCTTTATCTAAAGTTAGTTTTTTTTTTTTTTTTTCTTAAGCTGCCTTTCACTTGTAATCCAAAATCAAAAGGGTCCCCAATTAAGAAAACATTTTCTGTTGTACTGAATTCATGTTACTGTGCTATGAGCTCTGACATTTTGTTTCTGTGGTAACCAAAATCAGCTGATTAGTTGGCATGGCAACAGAAAAGATGTAATCCCAGCAGACACACTCTAATCAATGCCCCCAGCACAGATGGTCTCCAGAGGATCAACAAGAAAGAGGCTGACAGGCATTCAGCAATCACGTGCTAGCTTGAGACTAGGCCAGGAACAAGGGAACTAAAAAAGAACATTTCTCAAACTAACGGGTGGGTTTTTAACCCTTTTTGTTCTTTGACTGATTGTAAAAGAATATTGACCGTATAATACGTCGACTCTCA